TATCTATCTATCTATCTATCTATCTATCTATCTATCTATCTATCTGCCTGCCTGCCTGCCTGCCTGCACGCACGCACGCACAGTAGATTATACATAACTGCCAATATTGGGTTGTGAAAAATAGGGACTTTTTGTTTTTATGGACGTATCAGCCCATGAGGTAATTATTTGTAATTTCTTGCCTTGTATTTTAAACCTGATTAAGGAATCTTATTTTGAATAAAATGTTTCTTTGATATTCAGTTAATGATTTTAAAGGACAAATAATAGTACTAAATAATAAGGCAGTTACATTGCAACCCCAACCCTAATGCATTTAGTATGGAGTATAGCACATGAAATTAAAAAGTGATTAACACTGCCTGCCACCATCTAAAGGATTGATTAGCTGTTGCCAGGAAGAAAAGTGGCCACAGGAACTGAGCTTGAACTTTAAATTCATGCAATGATAAAAAGAAAATGTATTTAAAATTGCAACTTAACAAAGAAATTGTTTAATTTGATAACAGCAGAGATACAGAAAAGTATCTGGCAACCAGGATGCCAGGATACAGAGACAATATATCTTTTGTCTTCACTGAAAAATCAGCGGATTAGTGGGAGAAATTACTGAATGGGAGCTTGGTGGGAGATAACCTTAAAAATTGGGAGTCTCCTGTGTAAATTGGGAGAGTTAGTAAATATGCAATTTCTTTTGAGAGCACAACACTTTTGAAAACACATTTGAGTTGTAGGCAATTAAATCTTACATGTTGGACAATAAATGTCCCAGTTACTCAAAATAATTATGAAGACAGTAAAATGATGTTGTCTCCCACACTTAAGGAATGATGTTGGAATAACATGTTATTTCAATTTTGTGATACACTAAATAGAAATAAAATTACTTGAGAACATTTCATGTTAATGTAACTGTTTTATTGATCTCACATTGTAGAAATTTACCTCTGCATTTAACCCATCCCCTTGGGAAGCAGTGGGCTGCCATCGTGGGGCCCCAGGGAGCAATTGGGGGTTAAGAGTCTTGCTCAGAGAGCCAGAGTGGCAGTCTGTGGGAATGGGTTTTTAACTCACAACCTCAGGATTCCAAGCTCTATGACCCAAACCACTAGGCCGCCACTCTCCTTATTTCTGCAAATAACTCCTTGACTTCTCAGTATTTTAATCCAAAGTGGTCTGCTATCAGGCTCCAAACCACAGAGGAAGAAAGTTCGATTTTGTGACAGTGGAGTGTCACCACCACAAAAAAACAAAAACAAAACAAAAAACAGGCCCAACTTTATCATCTATAATTGAAGGTGATGATGTCAGCGGCCCAGCTAATGCCTCTATCCAGGATAGAGATACAGTCACAGCTGAGCAGAACCCCAGGACTGATGAAGATGATGATGAGAAGGACTCATGACTTGCTGTAACACTATAAGAAATTGGTACTAAATGCCTAATGTGGTGTAACGGTAGTGTTCTGTTAAGTTTTTTTTTTTGGCAGCAACACCTACTAAAGCAAGATAAACCACTCCATGTTACAATTGTAGGCCAAGGGCCCCCCATTGCATTACTAGCTTCCACTTGTTGAACCACAGGGTTGGCGATAAATGAAGGAATTAGTGAAGGTCTGCCTGCATGACCCTTACGCCTCTGTGTTTTCAGAGGCAGAAGTAACAACAGAAGTGAACCAACACTGGTTTCAACGTTTAAACTCAATTTGGTTGAGCAATGTTGTTGTTATAAAGTGCGAGTTAAATTTGGAATCAATGATTCAGTTTGTATTATTGGTTGTCCTGAGTTTATAGCTCTTAATTTGTTGGCTGTAAAATCAGAATTGCTGCATGTTTAAATTCTCACCAATGAAGTTATTACATTCTGTAGCTTTACTAAAACAGTTCTTCTTCTCGACCGTTCTTTTCCTCCCTCATTGTTGCACAATAAACAAGTATCAATCAAGAATTTTTACTGTCATAATACGCAGACAAAAATGGAAACAAATCATTAAAAACACACAAAGAAACACCTTTCCAAGAAAATACCAAGACAAAACATTCTCAAAAGTAAAATGTAGAAATGTAGCATCTAGTATATTAATAGGTATGTAGATGCACATAGTGAGGCTTGTGCCAGTCTATTTTATTATCCACACGATTTCTATATAGATATATTTATTCTAACAGTCAGTGTTTCATACATATTGTTACACTATGTGAGGGGATCTTGAATGTCTTCAAAGGCAAATATGAATAAAATGTATTATTGTTATCATTATTATTGTTATTATAGAGAGTAATGCTATCTGTGTTTCTGTTCCTCATAAAGCCACTGTTAAAACTGTGTGTCATTAACTTTGTGTAATGGTTTTTAGTGTTGTATCATAGAAAGCACTCATGAGTCAGTGATTCTGTGCTACCTTTGGAAAAATATACACAGTTCTAAGTGAAACTGGATCAGAACCTGAGACTAAGACTGGAAATGTCTGACATAACCTGGACTGAGTGACTCAAAATTGGACCTGTTTGTCTTGTAATGTGTTGTGAATGGGGAGAGCGTCTGTGTGCATGATGTTAGTTTGAGTAATTCAATGTGAATTGCTGCTAATAAGAAAAATAAGAGATACATTGTGGAAGTTTTTGCAGAAGCCTCTAAATCTCAATAATGGGTTTATTTTGATATACATTCTTATGTTTTTCATGAAGTTAAGATGTTTTTCTACAAACCTCCAAAATTTCAACCTTAGGTCTGATGCTCTCATTAATATTTCACCTCTGCAATGACTTCATTATATTTCCCAAAGTTTAGTCTTAAAATAAAAAGAATCTTAGCCGATTATATGGATATTGTTAAAATAGAAACAGTTAATAAAAGTAGACAATGGGAGAAAAACAGCACAAAATATCTATTTATATGTATAGGATAAAATATTATGTACTAGAATGTTTTTTTCAAATATCTGTTTTAAAATCTGTTATGTTTTTAAAGGGACCACTGTGATCTCTAGTGCACTGTACACTATAAGGCCACACTCTGCTGCAGCAATATGTTTACATGTAGCAACCCCACAAACATGACTGATCTAACGTTGCCTTGGCATGGTGGGCTGCAGGCATACTGAGAAAAAAAATAAACCAACAGTTCTTTTTAGATCGGTTGTTTCAAACCTTATTATTGAAGCCCTGAAAGAAACGTCCATAACCGAGACCTTCAGGATCGCTGCTGCATCTGCAGGGCTCTCTGTGCAAGCCCTTAGTGGATACATCCGTGTGCAGAGCCATAATTAGACATGCCTTCCAAACTCAATCCCATTTCAAAGAGCTCCTGGGGGAGATATTACGCTCCCCGTAAACCTATGGCCCCTGCCTCAGTCATCCCTAATTACATTCCTAGTTCAATCATGTGGAAACAAACAGCACAGTACCGACCAAATCATAGAAATGAAAACAGTTTGGGGGCACTTTTTCTGCATTTTAGCGATGAACTGGCCTGTCTGAGATATTTCTGAAATTGTGTCTGAGTGCACCTGTTTCACCCAGGGGAAGATCATGGAAAATTGGGAAAACTGCATTCAGAATTAGTATGGTTAAGAAAAGGGTAAAACAAAATTTGGCAATGTGAAGAGGGGAACCAGCTCTATGCTGAAATGTCAGATGAGTCAGAGGCATTGTGGGAAGAGTGTCTGCCATGTAGCCTGAAAATTTACAATGACACCATCGCCCGTAATAACAAGCACCTGCAGCTGCTTGGTGAAGGAGCTGTCTGCTCTGAATCAGTGGGGATGTAACACTGATTAACCCTGAGCGCCTGCAACACCAGATAGGCCGCCATTGGGATGTAACTGCAAAATTCTGCATGCATCAAACATCCAGATCAGTAACCTGCTCAGATGTGGCTGCTCCTTTACCATTTCTCCTTCTTCAAAATCCTAAATTATGAGCATTTCCTGGCAGAGAGCACCTCTCAGACTCAGAAAAGGGTAGCTCCAGCTTTTTCAGCCAGCTTCTTCACATTTAATAGCTTCAGCAGATGTTAAAAACTGAAGAGCATGCTCAGTTCTGGTATGGATCTCTCCTCTGGGGCTTATTGGTAACAGTCCTTCTGTAGGTAAGTGGGTTAAGCTGCCTCTAACTCTGCCAACCAGAAACACAGATTCTGCTCCAGTGTTTTCTCTAGTTAGTGGGAAGTTTGTTTGTTTGCATGTTTCTGGCAGCCAGGGGAAGGTTATGTACCATCTCTGCTGTTCCCTCGTTTGGAGGAAGTTTAGTTCTTTGACAAAGTTTGCTTGCTGAGTTGGTTCAACTAATTAAAGGGGAACACCGGTTTTTCTACATTGGCCCCTTGATTTTACGTTACTACATCATGTTCTACTCACCCATATTAATTTTGTTTGGAGCTGTTCCGAAGATATTTGATTTTCATATATCCAAGTAACGTCTGCCTATGGGCAACGAATATATATATATATATTATATATATATATATATATATATATATATATATATATAGTAGTCTATAGTATTAGACTTCGTCAAATACTGTCAATATTTAG